CACGGAAATTTACATTTCATACATTTACTAAGGTACAGGAGAGAATAAATTACTTAAAAATAAAAGAGCAGTATAAATTGCTTGGAAGTTTTCCAGAACTTAAATCCATTCTTCATCATGTTAATACAAGTGTAAAATCCTGGCCTCACTGAAGACAGTGGCAAAACTCTGACTGACTATTGGGTCTAAGACTACAGATTGTCATGAAATTGTCCTCTCTGCTCTGAAAGGGAATTAGAACATGCTGAAGATTTCCACTTAGAAGTTTCAGAGAAAAGATATGCTCTCTCACAATGATCAGCTGTTGGGGATTAGGCTTCTTGATCTCCCCTTCTTCAGGAGACCAAAAAACATCTAAATTTTCATTGCACATATCACTGCAAGTTTTCTTTCAGACAAACTGGAAATCTATTAGAAAAGCAAACCAAAGCCCATGTCCCTTAATGTGTAAACTTTTTTATCTTCTTCTTTTCCCATCACCTTTAACCTGGTGCGGGGAATTCTTCTTGCCAATTGTTTATGACAGCTATTTATCCTGGAACAATTCTGTGCATCACATGGACACAAAGATCTCTTGATCCTCTGAGATTTTATGGCTGGGTATGTCACATATAATTTAGACTGTAATTTTGCTACTCTGTTTTTCATGTATGAAGAGTCAAAGTCCTAGTGCTAAATGAAAATAGCTTCTCGTTAATCCCTTATGCATAAGTGACTGATCTCTGACATTTACAAAAAAAAAAAAATCTAACGTCACAGGATAGTTGCAACTGTAAAAAAATGCATTATTTACATGAACCATTACACATACCCATTTGTTTCCTTGGGTGTTCATTAAGCTAGTGAATACCATTTAATGGTTGGATATCAGGCTTTTTTTTTGCAAAAAGACTCAATTTTATTTCCTGAAAGTTTGGCCTTCAAAGTCACTGAAGTAACCTAGGCTAGGGAAAGCCTCTAAAACTTAGTGGTCTTGCAAAATGACACACTTGTGATAAAAGCTTAAGTTCTAGTCCATCTAAGGTGAGCTATAATAAAGGAACATCCTGCCCACACCATCTCACAGACTTGCATAACACAGGGAAGTGGAAAAATAAAATGGATAGGAGTCCATACAGAGGGTGCACACAGGCTTGCTTAAGTGCCAATATGTAATGGAGATCCAGAGACAGGTCACTGACAACAGATCTGCCAGCCTCATGTCTGGGGGCTCCTATACACATGCAGGGAGGCTGCTCCAATATTCTGTAATTACAGCACATTGGAGCAGACTCCAGTGTTGTCCCCACGCTGAAAAATAGTGGCAGGGGTGCTTTAGCTAAAGCTGGTACGACGACCTTTAGTTAAAGCGCCCCCACCGCCATTTTCAGCATGGGGACACTGATACATGTCAGATGCTCCAGGCACTTTAATTAGCACAGCTCTCAGAGCAGGTCTATAAATGCCCTGAAGTAGCAATGTAGAACAGTTCCATTGATACCTGTGGCCTAATCAGGAAAAATTCTTGCTCTAGTCCTAAATAAACACTACAGAACTGTGTGTTTGGTGAACGATTTAAGTGTAAGGGAATACAGTCATTTACCTTGATCCTTACAATCAGCTCTTGAATACCTGTGGTTTTTGCTTTTTCTACATAAGTTATTGTTTCCATCATTTCTTCTGTTGTCTCAGGAACTTTTAATGCATGATCTTTAATTGTTTCAAATTCCTGGCATATCCTGTAAAAACATTCTTATTTAATATATGTCAGAGTTTTACAATGTTGTTTAGCTTGCTTTCTAGTTCAGATATAACCTCTGTAATATACATTCTGTCAGCTGCTAAAGATTCTTGGAATTACAGTTCAAATTACTTTTCTAAAAATAATGGGACTGTAACAGGGGGCCATCTTGCAGCCAGTCTAATCTTTGGCCCACCCACCTGTGTTGGGCAGTCCGCCCCCTGCCACATCTTTGATGCAACTTAATTAGTAGTTGTTCCTAAGGTCGGAGACTTCCCGTTTACTGCCCAATGCGAAGGGCATAATACACGGCTCCGAACCTCCCCTTATACCATGTCCCATGCCTCACAGATGCCATCATTTTGTGGCTCCAGCCCCACAATGGACCTCATTCTATGCCCACCTGGCTTTCGGACCCCACCTGGATCCCTCCTCCTCAGGCAGTCTACTCTGCCCTCATTCTGGGCAGCAAAACTCCCTAAACTCTTTTTCCTTGTGGCTGTGGTCCCCTCTGGGACCTTTGGCCTCACTGGCCCTTGCCTCACCTCTAGGCCAGTCAGGACTCCCGGCCTCTAGCCTCTGGCTATACCTCCTGATGGGCACTCGGGCCCTTTGACTGGCCTGGTCCTGGCCCCAGCATGGAGCAATTAGGTTATTTAGGGTAGGTACTGAGCCACTTGCTCTCACATGCCCATACAGGTCCACCTTCTTGGGCCCCTCCTAACACATCTCACTCTCTACTCAGGCCAGACTATGTGCAGTCCTTCAGGCCTTATTCTACATGGCCTACACGCAGTCCTTTAGGCCCGCTATATGGACCCGACTCTATGCAGCCCAATCAATCACTCTTATACACCCTCTCACTGGGGCCCATACTCTGCCCCCTCACCGGGGCTACTACACCACCCCATCATCGGGGCTCTCGGGCCTTCTGCCCCTTGGGTCTCAGGTCTGATGACATGCTTGGACCTCTCACCTGTCTCCTCTACAGGGTAACCCACCAGGTCATGAAGGCTGAGGCTATATGGCGCCCCATACTCACCTTTCACTAGGGAGGCACCGGTGTGGCATTTCCTGGGAACTACCCCACCACAGGCAGGCCCACCAAACCATCCTCCCCCAGCAGGGTGTTGCTTTAGGTCATTCCCCAAGACCAGAAACCTCCTCCATTCCCATAGTTCCTACCCTGAGCCGCCAGGTGCTCTGGGAGCAGCAGCTCTGGCTGGTGACGAAATCCCTCCGGATCCCTGCAGCAACTGCCCGCTCAGCTCTGCAGGCCTGGGTTTATACTGAGGTTGCTCAGCCCCATCCTCCAATCCAGGAGCCCTCTCATGGTCATGTGACCACCTTGTTAGGCCGCATTACACCTGCTGGCTGCTCCACACCTTACGCGAGCCTCTTAAAGTGGCAGGCACCAAAGGTGTCCTGCCACAGGTACAATTGACCCTGATATAACTTTATGATTCCAATTAAAGAGTGAACGTGGATGTACTCTAGGTGCTGCTCTTTTTATGTTTAGTCTTCCATTAGCCCTTAAAATACTTATTGTCATAATACTTATTTAATACTTATTAAAATCAAATTTTGCTATTCTGGCAAAATAACATTCTGGCATCATAAGCCTTGACAGGAATATTAGAATTTTACTGTGTTATCATAAATTTTATTTAACTCTTTCCTGCAGTTCATATAATTTATTATATATGCAGAGTTTAAAACAATCAAGCAGTTCTCTTCTCAGGCCAATTCTGGGAGCATTACTGCAATTTAGACTGCAGAAACTAGGAATATAGCCAAAGGGAACTCTTACCATCCAATTTCCCCAGCACTAGCAATGTTTGGTTGTACAATTGTGCTGTTCCTGGTTTTAGGTCTGGAGAACACCATTCAATGCAGCTTCCTTGGGGACTTTCAATCAACCAAAATTTTGGTTAGATAATGGTATGACATGTTGTATATTTACATAATGCATGTATGCAAATAAGTGTAACGTGAATCATTTTCCTTTATAAGCAAAAGGTCTACTCACTTTTCATTTTCTTCTCTGTGATTAGCAACTATCCTTTCCAGCAGCATGTTTGCAAAGCTTTTTGCTTTATCAGCCAAACCCTGCTTCAAATCATCACAGTCCAAGCGCATCATAGGAAAATGAGCCAGCTGGGGTAAACTCATAATTTCCTTAGCCAGACTGAGGAATTCATCTATGAACTTCAAAATAACATTGCACATTTTACTTTGCAGACTTATTATTTAAAAAATTTGGATCTGTAAGATCAATACATTATAAAAATAAGCTTTAAAAGTAATTAAATACTGGATTCTGATTATCACATGCATTTGGGAGGCAGGGGGGGAATCAAGTTGTTGCGGATTCTGGGTACTTAAAATGTTTTTTGTACTAATGGCAGTATGCCCAATTTCCTTCCTTTTTATTTAACTATAGCAAATAAAGATTATGCGTAAAATGTAGAATTTAAACTTACAATAGTATATTCATCAAAATTGTGCTTCTCTGCTTCAAAGGTATCTATTCGCACTTGTGCAGTTCCATCTACAAGCCAGCCATACCTTTCAACTACAATGCAATATTATTATTAAAAGTGCATTAAACATAACACAAAGTAAGCTAATCTTTCCATAAACTTCATTTCAAGTAATACATTTTATCACAAAATGCACTCATCTCACTTACCATAGCTTTCAAAATATTCTTTTGGACCTTCCAAGTTGTCCTGGATTGCTTTTTTCAGTGTAGATGAGGCCCAAGCTATTACATGATCAGCAAGTTCAGTGTCCAGGGTTGTAGCTGTGGCCCCTCCTGCTAGCCAAGAATGTATGGTTTGAACATGCTAATATAAGTAAAAGACAAAATCAATTAATTAAAGAGAACAATAGAACAGCCATACGCACAGTTAGATGCACATCCTTGCAATTAACTTTTTAAAAATCAGTCTTATGATTTTCTTGTATTAGAAAAGCTCTTAAAAGCTTCAGTCAAGATTAGGGTTAGAATATTACACACGCACAGACTCCCTGGTCCAAACAGATTACAAAATAAACAGGCAAGATACTTTTTTTGTCTATTATCGTTGTTTACAGATGAAGGACTAAAGAATAAAGAACTTTAGTGCTATGTTCTAGCCCTCTCTCATATTAAATTTTACCTTTTTTTTTAATAGCTACACTGAAATACATCAGCCTATTTTCAAAATAAGGTATTATTAAAAATAAGAAGGATGGCCATCAGGGACTTGTTCAGAGTCACCCCAGAAGTCTGCAACAAATTTCTGGAGTACAAGTCTGGTACCTTAACCATAACACTTTATGATAAATATATAGGATTGTGATTTCATGTTTTAGGAATTTCTTTCCTTTGCTTTAACCTTAGCAAAAATGGCACTTCTGGTTTTCCCTGGTTTTGTCTGTGAACCTTACGATGAGTTTCAGCACATGATTATTGTAAGCCCTTGCACCTTAATTTAAGGGACTTGTTAACAGAGATCTCTTGCACCAGAATGTTAATTAGCCTGCAAATTAATTTGAGGGAATCCAAAGAAACCAAAACAAATTAGAGTTTTAAACAGTCTAAAATCCAGGGCCCTGTCCATTGCCAAATCTGCCAAATGAGAGTTGGTGCAAACTCTATTTACTGGGCTGTTCACTATTTCCTCAGAGGGTTGCAGGCTGTAAGGCAAGGCAATGTCCAATTTCCCTCCTTTGAACTGGCAGTTGCCAAAGCGTATACTAAGCATTAAATGGCAGATAAACAAGATATTCCTGCAAAAAGGAGCTTGAAAAGACACAACAGAGCTAAGCAATCTGGCTGTCTGAAGGCATCATGTTCTGGGTTACTGAATCCTTATAGCAGAAAAGATGCATTAGGCTACATCTCTCCTTCCCATTAACAAAGCTGGCCAGGGAAGGATCTGATCCTAAATTATTAATATGTTCACATACCGTGTAACATTGCACTTGCAAATTTAAGAGGTAAATACAGTTAAACAGCACCTGAAGAGTCTGCCCTATCCGAGTCACTATAAACAGAATGGTGTCTTCCAGATCTTGAAAGCTTGGATAAAACTCCATTTTCTCATCATCAAAAGTCAATTCCATTTTAAATAGCAGTAGGCTTCTTTTGTCCTCAGGATCAAAGAGCTTCACATAAGCTTCAACAGTTCTTCTCAACAGCTCTTTCAGCTAGATAATACCATATGTTGATGTTACAGGAGAACACAAAATCACATTTCTCTTCCACCTTTGTACAGTTAATCAGAATTTCCATTTCATTTCAATAATTTGAGACTGATGCAGAGCCTACATACCATATTTACTCAAATCTAAGATGATCCTGAATTTAAGATAACCCCCCTAATAATGATATTTTATACATGGAAAATGTATACATTCGTTATAATTTTCCATGTATAGAAAATAATTATTGAAAGGTTGTCTTAAATTCATCCCCCTTCCCCCATGCAGAAGGTGGCAGGAAGTGGAGTGGCAGGTGGTATAGGGAGGTCAAGCAGCTTGCCCCTTGCTTGTGCCTGACACCCTGCCACCTGTTCCCCCATAGCCTTGGGTCCCCCCTTCCCCCTCTGCTCCCCACCCTGTCCTTCATCCTCAGTCTCTGCTGCCCTTCTTCTCTCTCCCCATATGTGGAGGGAGAAAAAAATATCTGAGGGGGGCGAGAGTGTGTGTGTGTGCACGTTACCCCCCACAGCAGAAAAGTCTATGGGGGAAGGGGGGGGGGCAGATCAAGGCCCCTGCGGTGAGGGAGCAAGTGAGGCAGAGGTAGGGGCAGGGGCTAGGGTGAATGGGGCCCCAGGGCAGGGGTGGGTCATGGGAGGGTCAGAGCCCGGGTGGCTCGGAGCCCAGGTGGCTCGGAGCCCAGGTGGCTCAGAGTCTGGGTGGCTTGTCCAGGAGCACGGGGAAGCTCCTGCTGCTGTGCACACCCCAGGGGAGGCCAGGGGGACACTTGCCCCCGCTAATTTGTGCACAGGATGGAGATTGGCTGCCGGATCTGTGCATGGGATGGAGGTGGGCTGCTGCTGCATGCTGGGCTCTGTGTCTTGCTGTCACTGCCTCCAGAACCACGCAATACCATGTGCCTGCCACTGCTGGGCTGCGCCATGTCCCCTGCCCGCCCAGCTGTGGGATGCACATGGCACTGCGCAGCTCCAGAGGCAGTGGCAGCAGGGCACAGAGCCCAGGGGCAACCCACCTCTGCCTCGCACACAGATCCAGGGGGCAGGGGCATGTTCCCCCCGGGCCTCCCCCAGGTTGTACACAGTGGCGGGAACCCCCCTGCACCCCTGGATGAGGCACTTGAGCTCTGAGCACCCCATGACCCAGCCTGGCCAGGGCCCCATTCACCCCAGCCCTTCCCCCTGCCTCTGCCCCACTCCCTCCCTCAATGTGGGGGCCTCGATCTGCCCCCTGCCAGCCCCTTCCCCTCATATTTGTAAAATTGGGCCAATAGTCAATTTCTCTTCCTTATATCTGTGTATGAGTTTTAAAAACACAGCAGGAGGGTAGTAGAGGACTTTTTTATTAATAGGAAAAGTAACTGTAGTACTTAAACCTAAACTGGAGCTCACTTTTTTAAACATGTTAGATTTCAAGTTAAGGTGATCTCTCTAGGACATTTTTAAAGCTAGAGACAGAAATTACACATAAACCAGTATAAGTGATCAGAAACTGGTTCAAATTTGTAACACAGCAGAAGGTCAGTGCATATAAACTGCTTTCAAATGGTTGAAACCAGTTTAAGATAAATCTATATGGATGCAGTATCAGACAAAACTGATTTAGGCTAAATCGGTTTATTGAACTTCTGTCCCAGATTCCCTTCAGATTCAAGTTAACACCAGCACCCCAGGATGCTTTGCACCTCCCCTGCATCTCCCCCAATTCTTGCAGGGTGGGCAGGCTAGCATGGGTCCAAGCTGTCTGCTCTAGCCAAGCAAGGAAGCATGCTCTAGCACCCCCAAGTTTCTGGCCTGAACCACTGCAGGCACGTGGCTACATTTCCAGAATCAAAAGTGAATGCCCATTCACTTGCTTATTGATTCAACCTACACAGCTTAGATTGACCTGCGAAGATTTAATCAATTCAGCCTTGGGCTTTTTGACTATCTGTACTTAGCCTTAATGTCCAAAATTATTGTTCATATTAAAAAAAAACGTTGAGTAATATCTTAGTCTTTTATTTAAATGCTCAAAAATCAACAAAAGGTAGTATTATTAGAAAATATTTTCACCTGATTAGACATAAGTGTAGCCACACAATTATAAAAAGAGTCAGCTTTGTCTGACTTGACACCCTTTAATGCTTCCTTTCTGGTAAAGAGATTGATAACTCTTGGATACCATGTGCTCAGTAACTTTTCTTCTGTTTTTGAGCAGCTTAAAGATACATCATTCTTCAGTGATTCACATTCAACTGGACCTTTCAACCTAGATAAAAGGAAGGACTGGTTTGAAAACTGAAATTCTATGATCTAAAACCAAATAACTAATAGTGTGGATCCAGTATCTTATTGTAGCTTTCAAACTGTAGACTCTATTCTTTTTTTTCAGGCAAGTAGATTTGGAAAGGATATGACCAGTAAAAAGGTGAAAGAGAATAAAACTGGACCTGTCAACATCAAAGACAGGAAAAATAAAAACACCTAAATAATGGAGAGAAAAGGTAAAAATTAAAAATGAGGACATTCTCAGGATTACCATGGGATTTCCCAAAACTATTTGTCTTGCAAGAAAAGCATACAGCAGTTTCTTTGGGTAAGAAAACTAGGACACAACCTGCCAAATCTTGGTCCCACTGAAGTTAATGAAAATTTTCCCTTTGAGTTACCTGACTGGCCATAGGAGAATTAATGGGAAATAATGTAATGGCAAATAAATTATATATCCCTAGCACAAAGCAGGAAAATGATATGAAATGTGTCTCAATATGAGGTTTCCAGATTACAGGACTAAAAGAAGCAACAGTGGATATGTCTACACGTACAATTAATGCACCTGAATAAACTCCAGAGTTTACTGCTTTGGAGTTTTTTGCTCCCAGCCGCCACTCCACAGCACACAGAGCCCCACTGGAACAGCCAGCCCAGGGCTATTTCAACATGGCTCCACATGCTGCAAAGTGGCTGGCTGAAGCATAACGGTGCTTCAGCACAGGGGCTGCCTGGCAGCTAGCCCTGCACTGCAGCACCCTGTGCTCCAGTCAGCCGGGGCAGCATCTACATGTGTGCTACCGTACACAAAAACACTTTACAGCAGGTTACTTTGTATTTACAAGTCCTAACTTGCTGCAGAGTTTATTAGTTTTGTGTGCCCTAGTAGGGGCACATGAGTAGATGCTGAGATGTTTACTGCTCAGTTGATTAGTCAACTGTGCAGTAAATGTCTTGTGTAGACATGCCCAGTGTACATTAAACCACTCATTATTATATAACAAGTTAAAAAAAATTTCATACTGCATACATTGTTTATTGACTACAAAAGAATATATTAGGGGTGCATCAATAAAGATTTTCTTGGCCCATACCAATAGCCGATGATTAACCAACCATATTAGCCGATGACAATCCAATAACCGATATTTAGTAATAATGTGAAACATTTTTGTTTGTTTTGCATTTATAACACACACACACTTCCTGCCTGCTCTGGCCCTTGATGAGGAAGGTGGTGATCGTCTCATTCCCATGCATGTTGTTCCTTTGCCCATGGCTCCTACCTGTAGCCCTGCTCCCCACACAGTCTATGCCAGTGTCCTGGAAGGGTAGGGCAGACCCTTGTGCAGACAGCAATGCTGGGTGCATTTGGAGTCCCAGAGCACACCGCTGCCTCAGCACCAGCAGGCACCACACAGTCAAGCTCCCACAGCCGCTGGGGAGAAGCTACTTTTGCAAGGGTGCCTGGCGGAGCAGAATGCACCTTGTGTGGTGCCTTACTTCACTCATGCAGAGCTCAACATCGCTGTGGCAGCCCCAGTGCTCAGGCCCCTGTTGCATGCACAGCATTGCCATGGCAGAGGCAGCAGCAGCAGGAGCTGGTAATGGTCCCTTTGTTGCTGAGCACAGTGCCCTGGCACCCGCTCCCTCTCCCACTTCTTGCTGGGACCTGTAGTCTCCTGTGGGCTCAGGCCAAGGGTGCAGGGACTGAACTATGCTCGCCAGGGTGCTCCAGGCATGAGGCTATAATTATCGGCTACAATGACCAAAAAAAAGCCAATAGCCGATAATAAAATGTCTACTTTTACTGGTGCCAATCTGATAGCCAACTGATATATCAGTGCACCCCTATCATATACACAATATTTAGAACGTGAAGTCAACAGGAAATTTTACCTGAAACTTGACAAATCCACTACAAGTATTTTGGAAAATGTTGTGTAACCAATATCCAGTAAAATTTTCAGGGTAGGATGAAGAATGTGTAAGTTTGAAATTATCTGATTTTTTGCTTGTATAAAACTCTCATGCCATGGTCCAGAAAAATCCAGGCCTCTAAACAAAGTGAGGAGAATAAAGAAAACAAATATTAAATTAAATCTCATTTTATTTTATCTCAGTAAAATATCCACTCTATCTAAAAAGTGTGAATAAAAAGACAGATCTCTTTATGGACACACATATTTAATCAGACAGGTGTGTTACGTACATATCCCTAGCACAGGGTAATGGAAAGTTAAGCATATATTTGCTGAGTCTTCATCAGATAACACACTCCAGTATCTTTGAAACTATTTCAAATCAACTGCTTTTACTGAAGGTTTCCCACTATCTACTGTAACTTCATCAGATGTTATCAACTATGAAATATCAGTTCTTATTTAGAGAGCAGATACAGTTACCGGTTAATTCACAAGCAACAGACTTGCTTCAGAATATATACCCTAATTTGGTATTATGTCAACCAGATGTAATATTCCTCACATTCCGCCCTAGAACTTGACCCTGCACTGATATCCATGGAAACACTGCCACTGTCTTCAAGGGAGAAGCATGGAGGGTTTTTTTGACCAATGGATATCCAGGGGTCAAAATAACCCACGGAAAAAAAAGCTGAGCAGTGCACGCATGGGCAGTGCACAATGCTCAAAAGCAAAGTCAGACCACCCGGAGTTGTGCTGTGGCTGCTGGCCAGGCTCTGCACAGGAGAATTGCTGCTGCTGCAGCCCTGGGAAGCCCCCACAACCCCAGAGAATCATCGATTCAGCCATAGACACAGCTTTAAATATTTTTTCTACTTACCTTGAGGTACCAGGCGTGGCTCATGAATGCTGCAATGCTGGGGCAGATGGAGCATCCCACAAGAGTGCAGGGGACCCCCCCACATGCTTGGCGACAAACCTGGAAGTGGACCAGAAGTGCTTGTGGTCCACTTCTGGGTCTGCTGCCGAATGCGCTGGGGAGCCCCCACGCTCCTGTGGGACACTCCATGAGCCCCAGCACTGCGGTGTTCATGAGCCGCCTGGCACCTTGTGGTATGTAGAAAAAACATTTAAAGCTGTGTCTATATCTGAACTGTCGAATCTTTCCAAATATATCCGAATCAATTCAGATGGTTCCGATTCGATTTGGAGACATTAAAGGGTCTCCTGATTTGATTCGCATTGGGAGATTTGGCCACCGAATCAGGCTGAATCTCTGGCAAATCAAATCAGGGACCGAAGCTTCTCACAGCCCTACTAGCCAGGGAGCGGCATGTGAAAACAGGGGAGCAGGCAGCCCTGGGCTACCTGCTCCATCTCCACACACTGTAGAGCTCCTGCACTGAGGCACCCTGTGCCCCAGCCAGCTACCTCCCAGCTGACTGGGGCATAGTGTGGCATGAGACATGGGAGCATGCAGCCCTGGGCTGACTACTCCCCTGTCTTGAGGCATGCTGAGCCCCAGCCAGCTGCTCTGGGCTGGCTGGAGCACAGTGTACCTCAACACAGGGGCTCCACCTGCCTCACAGCAGGAGCTCCACAGTGGAGAGCCCACACTGAGGCAGAGAGAGACAAGGGAGCAGCCAACCCAGGGCTGCCTTCGCCCCTGTCTCGAGGCACACTGCACCCCAGCTAGCCAGGGAGCAGCTGGCTGGGGTGCAAGGTGCCTCAGTGCAGGGACTCCACAGAGCACAGAGGGGGAGCTGGCAGCCCTAGGTGCCTGCTTCCCCATCTCCACATTTATCCTAGCACATACCACTTTGAAATACTTTGTGCCGCTTTTTTCTTGGGTGTTTTTTGCTACCAGGAAATCCAAGTAACACATTTTGTCCTGGAGCTTTAAATTAGCAATGCTACACACAGTTTAACATGCAACGGGGACAGTTTTTGGTGCTGCAAAGAGGTCTGCAGCACCACAAACCGCACATACCTGGATTTCTGGATCTGGGCACAGGGTGCATCTACAAGTGCACTTTCCTGCAGAGTAGATTAATTATCTGTGCATTAAAGTGTCACAGTGTACATGTGTGCCTCTATTACAGTTCAGTAAACTAATTGACTCGACTTTAAGGTAGTATTGTCAGGAATTGGTAACATATAGGGGGTGCACATGCACCCACCGAGATTGGCAGTGCACCCCCTGAGAGAGAGACACCACCCCACCCCCCCACCCCCGGTTGCTGACTGCTGGTTGGTGCTTGCCACACCCCAACACTGACACCATTGCGGCTGCCTGCAGGAGCTCCCTGCTCAGCCCGCCCCTGCCACCCACACCACCATGACTGCCTGCCGGAGCTCCCTACTCGCCGCCGCCATACCCCTGCCAACGCCTGCGGGCAATCATTGTGCCCCGCCCCCAGCCTCTGGGGACATGCGTTGTTCATCTTGCCTGGGACAGAACTGGGTAGAGTACTTTACTGTGCCAAAATGCACATGTAGACAATGACCGGGGGTGTACATTGCACCTTTTCAAGCCAGCCAGCTGGGGACCTGCTCCACCCTAGCTCAAATTGCTGCTGTCCTGGGTGCACATATAGACGCTGCACCCCTGCTCAAACTGCTCCAGAGTTTATTGCGTCACATTAAATCCATGTGCAGATGCACCAATAATGAAAATCTGTAAAGCACTTAATAATATAATAAGCTACCTATAAAAACAAGCTAGCTGTTATTGCTAAATTCCAGGAAGAATATTAAGAGCCTGTTTATCTCATGAATGTATTTCAGTTAGAGTTGAATGCATGCACTGGTACCTTGATTGAGCACTGGACTATTTACAAATTTAATTTACTCACAGTGGTGATACAGGTAAAGGTTCCTCCTTTTCATCTTCAAGTCCTTTTACATTAGGTTTTATAAGAACACTTCGCACTAGAAGGCATTAATAAGGAGGGAAACATTAAAAGGAAATTAAAACACCTTCCATTTGAAGAAAAGAAAAATGGCTGGTCTTTGCTCTGTCATTCTTTATCAAACACCAAGACTAATATGGTGGCGATTGAACTAAATTGATCAAATCTTCAACTGTGGGTGTGGATGTGTGTGTATGGTGGGGTGTGGGGGGATGTATGGAGGATGTGGGGATGTGTGTGTAGGAGGGGTTATGAGAGGGTGTGGTTGTGTGTGTGTCAGAGAAATAGGGTATGGTGGGGGGGTGTATATGTAAGGGGTTGGGGGTGGCAATGTGTGAGTTTGTGCAGTGTGAGGGAGGGTGGAGGGGGTGT